CCCCCTCCCCCTCCCTTCTTGCTGTTCTGTTCTCTGCTGTAAAGACGGAACCTTGCCGTGGGTTCTTTACAATAAGGTTTAGCCCGTATCCTCGTCCGGCGCGCATCGGGCAGTTGGACATACCAAGCTGGAGGGGGAAGGGCGGCTGGCTGCTCTCCGCGCCCATTAGTCTGCCAGACTCCTCGCTCCTGTCTGTCGCCTCGGTCCACAACCTCACCTTTCCGCCGCTTTTCGCTTATTTTGTTATTCTGTGCCTTTCCCCTGCTTGCTCTTCACCCCCCCAAGGTGTGAAAGGTAGAAGAAAATCTGCAATTATCGGTTTCTTAATGATCGTCGCCAAAAAAGTTTGGAATGATAAAAATCTCGCCTCGCGCGCGGGGAAGGGGTGGACTATACATACGACTTGCCCTGGCACGTCCGTGGAAAGTCACGTGACCCGACACGGGAGGCCAGCAGTGAGAGAGAGTGTGTGTGTGTGAGAGAGAGAGAGGGGGGGGGGAGAGAGAGAGAGAGGCAGAGAGCGGTAATTAACGGTCAAGGTGGAGCACTCCGGTAAGGTGCGAGCGGGCGGTTATGTCTACTCGCTTAACGACTTTTGCAAAGTGCGCGGTGCTTTGGCAGGTTGCCGCGCCCGCAGCAGGTGCGACACGGCCAGCATACGGAAACAGACTTGCCCGGGTATACAATTTATCAGCGTTCGATTAAGGTTTCATTTTTTCTTTTCTTTTTCTTTTTTTTTCTAACGACAGACTCTGTTTTTCTCTGCGCTCCAGGCGGTTGTCGGCTGGTATGTGGTCGCCTGGCCCCGCGAGGCGGGCCGGGTGCCGCCGCGGCGTCTGCGTGCCGCCCGTCACAGTCCTGCTGCTCCTGGTGTGTCTCAGCACGAGAGGCGGTGGCCTGCCCCCCATCATCAACATCGGTGAGTCCACAATAGTATTATTATTGAAAATTTCAAAAATTTCCCGAAACATTCCCGAAAATTTTCGGAAAATGACGGAAAACTTCCCAAGCCATGGAAATTTGCCATTTTCCCCCAGAAATTTTCTGTTTTTTCTTGAAATTTGCCTGAGATTTTTTTTGGAAACTTCTAAGGGCTTCCAACCCCAGAACATCATCTCATCGGTCGCTCATCAATAAAGTTTCAGTGCTTAGAGGCCGAATACTTAAAAACGTCATTTTCTGATGTGGGTTACTACTTTTTTCACGGCCCTCCATTCGAGTTTCGGGTTGAAAGTGGAGGTTTTCAGACGTTATGATAAAGTTACCCCATTCAAAAAAAGAAAAAAAAAAGAAAATACCGACGGGGAAATAATAATTATCATGGCACCCGGAACCTCGCCCGGGACACTCTCTGTGGGCAGCGCTGAGAAATTTTCTGATAAGACACCAATTATTGGCGTCCGGTAAAAGAACGCCAAAATTTGGCGTCCTTTGACGCCAGTATTTTGGTAACAAAAGACGAAAACTCATTTACAGTGAGTATAGTCGATTTCAAAACTTTCATCAAAAACACTAGGAGGTTTTTTTTGTTTTTTTTTTGGTCGCGCACCGCCATGCCCAGGGGAGAGATGACCCAGACGAATGGCTGCTGGAGGCCGCTGTCAGTCTAACTCCTCGGCCCACCGCCCGTAAATACAGATTTTAACGGGCGAGCCTCTGCGGCTAAAGTGCGCGATTGAGTGGTTGTAAAAGCCCTGTTTCTTACGGCCGGCTGGCCGAGCTTTCGCGTGCCGGACATCTCGCTTGCTCGCTCTCTCGCTCGCTCTCACTCACTTTGCTCTCACTCACTCATGAGCTCTCACTCACTCGCTTACTCTCTCGCTCTCCCTCACTCATTCGCTTTCCCCCCTCTCGCTCTCTCTCTCTCTCACTCGCTCGCTCGCTTTGCCCTCCCCGTTGCTCGCTCTCCCCCTCGCTCTCTCTCGCTCGCCGCCTCTTGGAGCCCCTGTGGCCGGTCGGCTAGGCCGCCTGCACGCGCCCGTGCTCGGCGGCACGGTATCCCGGCCGCCTCCCGCCCGGCCCTCCCCGCCGCGCCAGACGGGGCGGACCAAGGACGCCGCCACGAGAGGAGCTCCTCAATTGCTCCAGCGCAGTTTGGCCTGCTTCTGCCGCTGCTGCTGTCTAGGGTTGGAAATTTCCCAAATTTTCCGGAAGAGTTCCGAAAATATACGGAAAATAAAATTTTTTCTCGGAAATCTTCCCTCTTTTCCAGAAATTTTCCTGAAATTTTACGGAAACTTTCCAGGGCTTCCAACCCTGCTGCTTTCCGAGCAATCAGAGCCACAATCACCACTAACAATGCCA